TATAATGATTGCTATTATATTATTTTTGCTTATACGGTTGACAAAGTCAAATATTGATTCAGGTCCGCTTAGTGAGAAATTGTCAGAGCTGTCTATATTCTCTGCTTGTTTTTGAACCGAAAGTTAGTTCGAACAATTTTAAAACGAATTCCGAATGCAAGTTGAAACTGATCAATAATAACACATTTTTATAGAAGTGGGTAATATGTAGGTGTGCCAGTATATGTACAGCAGTATATTCTATATCTGAACTTCTATTTGACAATAAAGAATCAGTTGCAATAAAAAGATATTGATTACAGGCAAATTGACGCATTCGACGCATTATTTGCAAAACTAACTTTTCAAAACATAAAACACGTTGTTTACTCAAATTTGAAAAAAAATAACATCAACTAGTCTTCAGATTGTCACGGTGAACCTGATCATGTACCATGTGAATCTCTCAGTACCTATTGAACGTACCTATTGCAGGAATTATGAAAATATTTATTCGACAGCCTGTTAGCTTATCAACGAAACTGGCATCAACTAGGATACCAACCTGCAACTAAACAAAAGGAGACGATGAGGTAAGGGATACTTGTGGCAACGAATGAAGAAGAAAATATTAGAAAAGCCAGCAGTCCACCAAATATTCCAACCTTTCTGACGCCGTACTTATTTACACAATGTCCACAAATTCTACATTAAAAACGGTTGAACAGTGAATCTATATTACGCCTATACGCAGTTTACTGCTACCAATCAAAATTGATCATTAAATGTCCGTCAATATTGGTTGCATGCCTAGCATGTACAGTAAATGTATTTCGTAGCTCTTAAAGCTGAAAGGCGAATTAGATTTATCTTATTAACCCGGACTATCAGCCCAAAAATGGCGTGCACATAACATTCAGCTATTAAACAGAACTGTTTTCATCTTGTCGTTGAATACTACCAAACTTCTCAGGTTAAGGTTGAATATTGAACTTTATCAAAACATTTTTTTAAAACAATACTCATTTTAATTTTAAAGACAAATCTCACAAAACTGCACTATATACATATATATTTATGCAATTAAGCACCAGCAACAACAAGAATTAGGGAAAAAGAGTAGATTAGAAATGTTTTCTCATAATCCTTGGAAGAGGTGGTAATTGACTAAGCAAACAGAATCCAGATGTCTGCATGAGGATCAGGTTTATTCCCGAGCCAGGCTGCACGCAGGTCTAGGATGTATATGTATAAGGAATCGAAGTCAAGTTTACATTATTTGACATCCTAAGGATATTCGTTTACTTGTTAAACGGAGTACGTTTCCTTGTCATCAGCCGAGTGTGTAAACTCAAAAATACATAATACGACCGCTCAGGGCAGATCATGTCTTCGGTTCGTACATGCAAATAATTTTATCAATTTTAAAAAATAGCACATTTTTAATCGACATCAATCTGATAAGCCATGTATTTAAATGATATTTATTTTAATAACGCATGCTATAAAAATAACTTTTCATGCTTGACATTAACCGCTGTTGAACGACTAACCTGCTATATCCAATATCCCTGTAGTAACAGCTTGGACAAGTACTGTTTGTGCTTTACTTTCCCCGAAAACACGACGAAACTCCACGTTTAACACTGCCATGTTAAAGGGAAAACCAGCGCACAGAAAAAGGCTCATAATATAAACTGTTAATACAAGATATTTTCTTTGTAAAAAACATCCGCCTAGGTGTAATATTTTGCTTTTACCTACTTCTTTGTGACATCCATACGAAATCAAGTATCGAGGCGCCGTCATGAATTTGGCTTCTTTCATTTTACATTGTGTCTTAAACAACTCATCATGCTTTAAAATATGTTCCATCATGCCTGAAGTATTGTTCCATGTGTACGTAATTCCTATATATGCATAAGATGCATGCAATCGGAAGTAAAAAACACCAGAAGTGTCATGGCTAACATACATGTGTTCGTCTAGTCTAGTCGATCCGTCCCATCTAAATTACTGTAAACGTCAAAACATCACAATGCCTCAAAATTATTTCGATTCGAACTCTCTTGCCCTAAAAGTCATCCTGTATTTGTACCTTCAACAAGAGGCCAATTACCTTGAGGGCTCGAGCTATATTCCTATTTGTTTTAACTGTTACCATCTTACATTCAGCTTAGTAAGACGTAATAGGATATAGATGGATATATTTCAAAATGATACAAATCATTTTTATCGCAGTTCTTATTTAGTTTATGGGGATATTACACGTCTATTCCAAATAAAATGATAATAGACGAAATTGTCTGAAAACAAAGGCAAAAGGACGGCGATGTCGACAAATGTATCAACACTGGCATATCTGAATTAAAAAAGCAATACCCTTAGGTTCAATGTTGCAGTAGAAATTTAATGAGGAAAATTAAGCTTCTAATGCATCTTTGATAAGACCAACCAGAATTAAGCGCTTTTGTATAAAATCCTTTTGTATATGAACATGTGTAAACCATTCTTTCCCATAACATGTCTGTTTTCACACTATAATTTACTTTCAATAAAGCTATTTTAAAGATTTATATTATCGTGTTTAGTCTGCACTAAACCCAACAGCACACACAGGTTATACTCTGCTATGTTTTTTGTCGATAAAATAATAAACACTTAAATTGTCGAAAATGAGCATTTATTCTAAATGCCAGAAATCGAACATATGTATATATCTTTGTGTTGATTTTTATAATAAGGTGTACAAAGAACCAAAAATGATGGGGCTTGCTTCAAAATAAACGCCACAAACTTAAACTTAAATATTACCATATTTCTGTTCAAGTGCCTCACTATAGTCTAACTTGACACACCACCGCAAAATCAAAACTAGAATTCCACCAGTTGGGTTATTTCGCTGTGGTCATAGGATAGCTATGTTTTGCATACAAGATAGCTGTATTGTAACTAGAAGATTGTTGTGTTACGGATAATACTTAAGTGATTTTGGACACAACATAACACACTCATCATTGTATATGTATCACAAAAGGGGAACAGCCACATAGCCTTAAACTGATATCGTCAAAACTTGTGCCGAAGCAATCACAGCGATACGATGCACTGTACATGTAGTTTTGAATTTTGCTTTCGTAAACGGCTTCATCGAAAAAAGTTTTTAGAGTGCGTGCTCATTGGAATATCCGGTTTAGTTAATTGACGTCCAGTCTTGCTTATTGGGTTAACATCATATTTAAAAGATTATTGAAGATAAACTTTCATGCATATAATGAATGCGAAAGTGCAGGAGACATGTTGGAGTATTTGCCTCGTTGTGACAGCACCGTTGTGATGCCGACTTTCGAATGCTACATCACTATGTACGTCACGGTTAGGTTTGGTTTAGAATTGTTTAACGTTCTATCAACAGATATAGTCATTTAAGGACGGCCTCCCCTGTGCACAAGATACATACACGAGTGTTTGCGTGTGTTGTTTGGGAGGCTGCGATATGTTCGTGTTTGTCTTCTTGTGATAACGCGGAACTGGTGCCAACTTTATAGTGCTACAATGTACCTCACTGAAACATATTGCCGAAGACACTCAGCAGGACACCCCGACCAGTCATATTATACTGATAACGGGCGAACCAGTCGTCCCACTCCTAAATTGCGGAGCGTTAAGCATGAGTAGAAACTACCATTTTTACAGACTCTGGTATGTCTCCGCCAGGGAACAGAACCCAAAGCCTTCCTCACAAAGGCGAACGCTCAACTAAAGGCCAAAAGTGAGGCATTGTCAAGGGAGACATTAGGAAGAAGAAAGTTGTTCAGAAAGAAAAGGAAATATACCAAATTTAGTCGACTCTTACGATCATGCATTGGGGGCAGCCGGTTCAATTCTTACGCCCTACCTGCAGGGACATGTACGTCACTGAATACGGCACCCAGCACAGTATTCCATCCGGTCACAGTTTACTGTCAATTCAATACCTTCCTTATTTGGTTGGACGTCCGACATTAAGGCCAAAGCGAGATGGATAGACTGCCAAGAGAGGCGTAAGGAAAGAGAAATGTAGCTAAAAAGGAGGGAAAGTAAAGATATCCCTCAAACTTTAAAGAGTGCAGCATATTTATTTTAGTCGTTTTTGTCCCCCTTAAGTAGAAGGCAGAAAATCAACTATAGTCATAAAACCCTACGACATAATTCCTCGTATTAAACAAGAAAGGACATGGTAAGTTATACCTGCGATGCAGTAAAGGCTAATGCTTCTAAATCACATAAGTTTACTTCCGGTGATTTACGAGAGCATGGTGCCCAAAAAGTATTATTTTTCTTAGTTTTAATTTTGTCCTGCTGTCGTTATGGAAAATTGAGTACTATTTTACTTTGACATTCCAATTCTGAATCAATATTTAGCAACCATATAAATAGCATCATAGGTGGAAAAGCAATCTGTTAAGCTGATCATGAATTGGGTTTACATTGTGTACAGTATTTCTATTTTCCATGTGTCAATGTGTTGCAGTTTGTCTACAAAGAAACTTTATACAGATATGTGTATGAATGTGATACAAAAATTACTCATGAATGAAATGTACAATTCAAATTTACAAAAACAAAGACCTGAAACAAATATTTGGTGCTTATCAATAATATATTCTTTAGATACTTTTGCTTCTCTTAAATTCCGTTTCAAAAAACGAATTATTGAGCTTTAGCAGCTGATCTCGAACAATATAGTACTTTATGCTTATGATGTAATACTGTTATAAAGTGATGTTGGTCAAACGCGGCGTAGTCATTTAAAGACAAATCATCACTCATTTTTTTATGGTTATCATATCCTTAAATTTTAAAACATGTGCCTAGATGCACCATGCTACCAACGACGTGAAATCTCGATAATTAGGCAGTCATCAAATCCTTAAAAGACCAATTCAAGCGCTGCCGAGTGTATTGAATATAAGCATGATGTACATTTCCACTAATTCAAAAAGTTCTATCTGTAAAATATGACTATCACTGGACCAATGTTAATCTCAAAACAGTTTTTCATTTCAGATAAATCGTGTTTTCATGCCATATAATGGTAAGAGAGTGTGTTACCTTCCCAAATCTAACCATAGATTGTCAGTAAAATGCCAAAGAGGCTCAGAATAGCCCTTTCTCATCCTATCTAACTCCTTGCCAGTAGAGGAGTTTATCTTAATTTTATATAAAAAAAAAAAAAAAAAAACTTCGGTTGTTTGCAACCCCGAAAAAGAATTTGGCTACACATCCTGTCACATTAAAGTGACAACCTGCAAAGGTGACACAATACATGGTACTGTAGTACTACAGTTGGGCTCCAAGCGGTTACTTGACAATTTATCATATATCATATCCAGTTTTCTTATGCAAACACTGTTCTCTCATCCAAATAGGGGGTCTGACTTCGGCAACATTTCCGTACTGCAATAGCCAGGATGAACAGAAAGACAGCAACGCCATGAGTAGCTGACAGACTATAGTATGATGTGTGATATGATCCTGTTACGTCTACTAGCCAACCTGCAATGAAAAGGATGTGAATAAATAACTATGTACAGATGCTGTTTATATTAATATTTATTATACAAAGCACAACAGATCACTAAGACGAATGTTTCTTACTTGTGTCCTGTCTGGGCCTCGGACTAACAACCTCCAGCAGCAAAAACATATGATAACATCCTAACCATGAGTTTTACATGTTTAAAGTAGATCTATAGGTACATTAGAATTTAGTTTGTCCGCTAGCAAATCTTCAATACATACATACTTAAATATGGATAACCTGTCTCATTCCACTAAGGAAAATAAGTCCCTCGACTCGTTTGTTTACCGATGCATTTGCGGGGTATACATTTTGAAAGGACGTAGGTCTGTTGGAAAATAATGCACAATCGCGTATGGTCTATCGTCCAATAATCTTTGACTAAATTCAAAAGTGTAGTTATCTCGCAAACATGGTAATATTAATAGCATATCATTTGTATACCTGAAACGGCTCCAGCAACGATGCTGCTCACACCAATAACAGGCATCACTATTCCAATCCCGATGGCATAGTTATCAAGTCCCACAAGTTCCATCGTAGTCATTGATAGGACTGTGTTACAACATCCAAGAGCAATCCCAAAGACGCACATCAGAATCACATGATGGCAGTATGTAGTTGCTATAAGTAGACCCACGCCTGTTAAACAACTCAGACTTGTAAAGAAAGCGGATACGACAAGACCATCTATAAATGGTACGAGTATACACAACCCAGGTAGCACCCTACATAACATAGCTGATGTATTCATATAGAAATAGAATAAAAGCGCTTCTTGTTCCTCAAACCCCTTTGTCTGAAGGAATTCCAACATATATATCAATGCTGCACCAAACGAGGAAAGTGTCAAAGCAATTCCAAGAACGAAGATGATAAAAATGACGTTTTTCTTCAATGTATTTAATTTTTCAGTGCATGTATATTGTTCCTTGGGTAGGTCGATGTCACTAGAGTTGGATATATCGGTGTCCTGATGTAAATGTTGATGAACCGATGATAGTTGCGTCTTGTCAGGATCTTGCGAACAACAGGTTTCAGGCTTAGGTCGTGACACACCAACCGAATTAGGCTTACAAACCGCAAAGAAGCAAATCATGTTCCCCATGAGTCCGCCCACAATTAGAACACATCCACGCCATCCATACATGTCTATCAGATAGTCCATCAGGAAAGGAAATAGCATTCCACCGCATCCAGCTCCGGTACCGATAATTGATATTGCAACCAGTTTTACTTTTCCGTCGAAGTATTCACCAACAGATGTTAAACAAGAGAGAAAGGTTAAGGAAAAGCCGAATCCTGTTGAACAAAAGCGATGTGATAATTAGTTACAATTTACATCCAATATCTAAGTAAATATGCAATAAATTGTTCTGTCTAAAAGAACGATTTATAAAACAATTGTTAGCTGATGACGTATACTTCCACGCATGTATTGTGATGGGTTTCCATGAATTTATAAATAAAATCTTAAATTTAAATACATTTACAGGAGTGACATGAAAGCAATCGTTTCAGCGTTGTTTCAGATGTTTCTTAGTAACAAGCTAATATATCGACATAGTTGTTGTGAGCATAATTTCTGGCGAAGTAATTCCTACGTATTCCGAATGCCTCTTAAATCTTCGGTCGCTTTGAATCGAAGTCAATTTTTACTTTCATCAAACAAGTTTTGACACGAGTATTTCCATATCAGCTTTTCTTTCGAGCAATTGAAAGAACCGTCTATTTTGGCCTATGCTTTTATATCTGAATAGAAATCAAGAGATGTTCTGATCGTTTTTTAAAACGAATTCCGAATGCACGCTGAAACTGATCTATGATTAACAAGTGTGATATAAGAAAACAAAATGTAGGGTAGTTTGTCATTATACATACGGTAATATATCAATTTGATTAAAATCATCTGTTACATGGCTCAGGCAGAGCCATGTAACAGATGATTTTAATCAGATTGGGTAATATATTTGCTTCGACGTAAGTACAAAATGACACAAATAACAAAAATATTGACTACAACAAATTGTATATGTGTCTTGTTATTCGATGCACGGTTAGCATCACTAATTTTCATAAATTTCATTTTACGTAGTCAACTGAAATCGTAAAAGTATTTACAAAATTCAGACTGTCACAGTAAATCCTTCCTCATTCGTATTTCAGTGCTCATTTCATTAATTCTGAAAATATTGATTTATTAGCCCGCTAGGGTTATCAACGATACCTCGAACTACAAGGACACTGTTTTGTTATTAACTGACCTGCAACTACACCGATGGAGACGATCAGGTAACGGATACCTGTGGCAAAGAATGAAGAGGCAAGTCCAAGAAAAGCCAGCAGTCCACCAAACATTCCAACCTTTCTGACGCCATACTTATTTACACACTGTCCGCCAATAATACCTAGAAAAAAATTAAACAGTTTATCTCGTCAACTATTATTTCTAACAAACGATACGGATGTTTGGTTTACACGTCTGCCTTGCAGCTCCTGATGCTTAATTGCGAATGAAATTCAACAAATCAAACCTTTTTCACTGGTCGTTGGATTCTCTGAACTTATCAGAGTAAGAGTGTATAATGGAATTTATCGAAACAAATATCGATATGGACATATTAGATTCATTTCAAAATACAATCTCTCATAAATGTGAATCAATGAAACACATGCTTATTTTAAAATTTTACTAACATTATGAAGGTGATATTCAGAAGAGATCCATTATTATCTTAATTATCGCCATTGATATGAACAGTAAATAAAAATATAAAATACATGTAATGTATTGTTATACATTTTTGTAGCTAGGAAAGTCGAAAATGACTGGTCAACTGTTTATTTTCCTGTCTAGTTAAACGTATGAAATTAGACCAGAACGTGTTGTGATGCCAGTTCACAAAGCGCATATTTATTAATGTTAAGAAGGTATTGGACCGGAAAACAATGCCAGATGACAGAAAAACAGAGTTCGGAGTTAATCTTATACCAATTACTTTTGCCGGTTTACACAAATACAGATCCAGATAAAACAATTTCTGGTTAAGAGGATTATTATCTTGAAATTTGAGTTATTAAATCCAAATTTATAGTAGTTATCTCGCAATTCTGTGTTACTAATTCGAAATATTGAGATATTAAAACTCGTGCAACCCAGCAGCTTATGCTATCGTAACAGGAGAAAGTACAAGATAACTAAAAATAAGTGATCGGTATGGATACATCTTTATCTTTATCTTGTTACGAGGGTTTAGACAGAACACTGTTGATTTTGAGAGTAGATCGTAAGTATTTTTTTTTAATTTTGTCTTCATAAAAATGCTTGCATAGATGTAGAGTTGTATCCAGCTGTCCTACAAATAGTGTCAACAACAAGGATCTCGGCGTGGTTCCGTCATTTGCTAGGTATATCGATTGAGCTATATGGCCGGTTTTGGTCAAAATTAATTAATATTCTTACTGTGCCAGATATCACCATAACTTTAAATAAATCTGGTAAAAAATAACAGAAATACCCCGGCTACAAATGATATTAGCCCACCAGCTATGTGGCAATTGGTATTATGTTTTAACACCTATATGCTACTTAATACCACCTACCGGTAGCATGATAACATCATTATCATGGGTTATCAGTATGAGAATACCCCAGGTGAAGTTGAGAACAACTTGAGTAAAACTTGAGAAAGAATTTTCCCCATTTCCCGGCTTTTGGGAACTTATTTTCTCGCGTCAGGTGACGTCTTACACCGGAAGTGATATCCACACAAAACTGATCCACGTAAGAATATATTCTTTTATAAGCAAATCAATATAAAGTAACGGAAAAGTTATTGTGATGATAATAACACCATTTCAAGCGTAAATGTTAATATGGAATAGCCAATGACGATATGATTGTTTTAAAAATATTGTTTTTCTACGTAGTTTTAAGGTTCATTGTATTCCTCCGCGCAAATTTTCAAAATGTTTTAATTTGTCACAGACTGAGGAATTGTGATAGTTGACCATTGAGCATAGAAGTCACTTGGAAAACACTGTCCTGAAGCCCATCCAAGACCATTAACACTGGGTACATCTTTCAGGAGCTACTGCATGTTGATGGCGTCACTTCAAACTTTGTCAAGAGTCTTCCTCTGTATAGTCCCCGTGTTTTTTTCTGCAATTTTGATCATAACGATAATGACATGATTAATACTACTGAATAGCAAGGCAAATATCTTAGTCACTCATCAAAATGATCCGTACCTACTCTGGCAGTGGAAAGGTCGACCTAATTCTTGATACCTTTGCTGTTCTTTTTATACTGTGCAAAATGCATTGAATAATTTGATATATAATGAAACACATTATGATTAAAAATTAAGTACTTATGATATTTATGATATTTAATTATTGATAAATCCTATGGTTGTACGCACCGGGGTTTGATATGTAAACACTTTGTCCACTTCCGGTTCTTCCCCCTGCGTGAAAGTCCCCTGGGAAATTGAGGCCGCATACTGTCTACAAAAATATAAGGGTACACCTTACGGTATCGGCATATATTACAGTTAACTAGTGAAATATCATGAATTCTCAATTTGATAAAAACATATCTTTAATGCAGTATAGATAAACGAAACAATATATCTGTACAAGTAAAAACTTCACTCTTAATATTGTCCAATCTGAACGGTACATTATATTCCCTGCGCAGATTTTCAGTTTCAAGTTTAGATGAAGTGACGGTAGAATAAGTAGATGTGTTGTCTACCTTTGCAGCATACATTATTGTTTTTACATAACTACACAATTAATATCATTTTTGTCTAGAAATCTCACCAGATAATACTAGGAAACGGCAAAATTGCAGTGAAAACCGGTTCAAAATAGCGCTCTGTATTGTTTTCAAGCGTGACGTCATTTCAACTTGGCGTAAAAAACAACGTTACATAAACGATATATTTATTTCACTTGTATAAAACGAATATGTGACTATTATTAAAAGCGTTGGGGGCTACGTTTAACGCTTTAACCTAGAAGATGGTTGATATTTTATCCAAAATAGTCAAATAAATATAGCTACATTGTCAAAAGAAATATTTGCAAAACTCGCTGCAATTTTGACAAGAGGTATAAATGATCTTTTATGTAAATCATCTTATGTTCCGGCTTTTCTCTCTCTCTCGGAAGATGACGTTATTATCAAATCGTTGAAATTACATTTGCGTGCTGTGGGACAATTATTGAGTGACAATTGTGCAAAATTTAAGGATATTGAGCGTGAACGGAATTTTCTGAACGACAAAATCAATTCCATTAACAATTTATATAATTATAATAAAAAGGATCAAGTATGTACGATCCGTTCCCTCGCAGTTGATGGACCGTCAGTAAGTTATTTTCATAAAAAGGTTTGGTGTCCAGCAGCTTTACTGCATTTTCCTGTTGTTTTTGTTAAATACACTTAGAAGGAAGCTTTTCTAAATCCAATTAAACTAATAAGTAATATTTTGAGCTACCAGTATTTTTTTTCCAGAACTGCAGGCACGATGGTCCAATCAATCAACTGTATCACACTGGATCGCTTAGTGGATATCCACAGTCATTAAGTCCCCAACCACGCAGTGTCGTTCTCTATAACAGAAAATTGCGTACCAGAGGATTGCTGAAGAAGGAAACGCATTGAGGTAGATTAGATAGTAATAGGCTAGATATGGATCGGATTTTGAGATGAGAAGGTAAATTGAAAAAGGAGAGGAAATACAGTGATTTTCGATGGAACTTGTAACTAGTAAGATTAAACGAAAGAGTGAACTAAGAAGCTGTAAATATATTTAAATGTTGTTTCATGAATGTTGATAAAATATAAAAAAAAAAAAACACAATTTGTTTCTGTGGACTTTATATCAAAATAGGTGTAACATATTTTACAGAGAGGAACAAAAGGCTTACATAGGTACCAATAGTTTTGGGAAAATACACAACACTGGTGTCGTCATTTGGATGGAACACCTAATATTGGCGGATTGGTCGAGTGGTTAACACTTCAGCCTTCCACGCAGGCGGCCGGGGTTCGATCCTCGAGGTCGCCGAACGCATGGAATATCAGAGAAAGTGTTTTTCTCCTGCCGACACAACTCCAACAACCCAGGTGGAGTGTAAAATGGTCTGGGGTGGATGTTGCGGTATCTGTGCTGTAGCATTCAAGTGAGGTGGCACTATAAAATATGCTGTTGGAAGGACATGTTAGACTTACACAAAATGTTAGACTTACACAGGTTCAATTAATCAACGACCTTGCTACATTCTGAAATAAGGATTGAATATATTGATTTTGTCGATTTCATTGGAGGTGAATCGGGTGATTAAGTGACTTGATATAAATTCAACACAAACTGCATCCTTAAATAAGAACACATGCAGACGCTCCAAAGCCACATACACGTTAGCGTTAGTGCAACTTGCACACATATATATTGACTTTGTTTGCATTCTATTTATAACCACATTTAATAAATAAGTAAAAAACATAGGAGGATATTATCTCAACTTTGTCTTGGCTTTAGATTAAAAACCACTTATCTCTTATTTCATTAATTATTATTTCATTGGAATAGCAATTTTAGATTTGTTCGAAAGTGTTAGACTTACCTGTTGTAACTACTAACCCAGTAGTTATAGCTTAGACAAATTCAGTCTGTGCTCTACTGTCGACAAAATCACGAGAAATGTCTCTTTTAACACCGACATGTTGAACTGAAAACCGGCACACAAAGAAAAATCTAGGAAATTTACTTCCTTGTTGAAATCCTTGACCTGACCGTTTTCCGTCTGACTTGTAAACGAGGTGTTGCGACAGATACGTACAATGCACAAATGACGATAACAAAATATTTAAATGTGTGAAGGTATTTTACCAGCTGACGTACTTGTTTTCAGTTAACTCGGACGTACTTATCACTTATCTCAAAATGCCTAAATATATGTTAGATATGTTGGATATGGATTATCGTTTGCAAACTATGATATTTACTGAAACTTACATAAGCGTAAACAGTACTTCGTCTGCTCAGTTAAGTGCAATGTACCATTAAAAGGTTTTAAATATGAAAGCAAACTGAGAAAAATCTATCACACATTAGTGACTACCGAGTTACAAGCGGTTAATCATGCCAGAACTTATCTGTAAACTTGCTTATGGGATGCTTCATGGTGCGTGCTCCTGCTGCCATCTTTCGTAAGACCAACCAGACTTAAGCGCAATTTAGCTCACCTGCAAATCCTCTTCTTCTGTAGAAATGAAAGGATTTGTTCCATATTTGGTCTTAAGCATCCTTCGTTGAAGGGGAACCAATTTTGTGTAAACCGTGGGTCTGGCCCGATAGGTGCCTGAGTGGCAGGACCCAATAGGGGAAATATAGCAAATTCTTTAAAATCCTAATTCTTCTGTAGGAATGAAAGTATTTGTTCCATATTAAGTCTAAAGCACCCTTGGGTAAAAAAAAGGAACAAATTGTGTATAAACTGTGAGTCTGGCCCCTGGGGGGTCTGAGCGGCGGGGCCCAATAGGGGAAACATAGCAAATTGTTTAAAATACTTCTTCTTCTGTAGGAATGAAAGGATTTGTTCCATATTTGGTCTGAGGCATCCTTGGGTGAATGGGAACTAGTTTTGTATAAACTGTGAGTCTGGCCCCTTAGGGGCCAGAGCGGTGGGGCCCAATAGGGGAAACATAGGGTCTGGACCCACCCTTTGAGACCCTGGGTCATAACTTTGAAACGGTTTAGATCACCAAAAGTAGTCTTTGTATTAGAATAGACACTGGGGTCTGACCGAACACTTAGGGACCTAGCTTTTTAGTTTTTTTGAAAACAGTTGAGATCCCCACCCTATAACCATGCATATATACAATTGCTGAGTATAAAGAGAAGAATGCGCATATGCTTCCAGGATGGCCTTGGGGTCTGCCCCACCCTTGCAGACTTAACCCCTGGGTCATAACATTAAAACGGTTGATATCCCCACCCCAAGACTATAAATACAAATGCCAGACAAAAAGATACGAATGCATTCATGATATTATAATTGATCCTGGGGTCTGGCCACAACCCTAGGGATCTAGTTTCTGAGTCACAGCTTGGAAACAGTTGAGATCCCCACCCCATAACCATACATTAAATTGCTGGGCATGAAAAATCTAATACAGACATACTTAAAGATTTGGCATTGGGATCTGGCATTTTCCCTTGAATATTTTGCCATGCTTGCTTTGATATCCAGGTGAGCGAATCAGGCCCTCTGGGCCTCTTATTAATATAGACCTTTTGTATATGAACATGTGTAAACTATTCATACCCGCCACACCCCATATTTTAGGATATCCCTACTCTATTTAGAGATTTGTGGACGGTGTTTCGTGGTTATACAGTTGCACATAATTTCGATCGATCGATCAAATGTATTGATGAATCTAAAAGGCATTTGAAAGTAATTTAACATTCAAGAAAACTGATTTAAGGTATTTAGTCTTACTTAACTCGCCACTGCACAAAAAGTACGCTGTGGTCATAGGTAGCATTTTCTATACAAGATAGCTTTACTGTAACTAGAAATTGTTATATAAAAATATATGAAGAATATATGACGGAGGCCAAGAGATGGAAATATCTACATATAGGCCGAAGCCAGGTAGACCCAGGTAGGATGAAAGATAACGGATTTCGGATACAACATTATAGTTATCATTATGTATGTAGCACAAGAGGGAAACACCTACATGACCTTGAGCTGACACCGTCCATATGCGTGACATTGATAAAACACAACAGTAAGCCCGAGGTTATCTGGCTCTCGACGCGTTATCTAAAGATTCCTACTAGTTTATTGTACAGTATGCACGCTTACACAACACACATGGAGGCACGTTTTCAAATTACCTTAGCTGTTAATAGAATGTTTAACACCCCTGCAGGTAGGGGATGAAGAAAAAGAATAAACCTACTGTAACCCAAAGCATGTATCGTAAGAGGCGACTTATGTTGAAACCCCCTGCAGAATTAGGGATTTGCGTTTGTGCCCTCTACCCTCTACTTTGGGGACACAAATACGACCAAAATAAATCTGATATACCCATTGCAACATTTGGATTTTTTATCTTTCTTTTTTCTTCAGACAACCTTTTATTTTCTAGCGTCTTGTTTGGCATTACTTCACTCGGTTTTTAATGTTGAGCGTTTGCCCAGGTGAGGAAGGCTATGGGTCTTGCCCCCCTGGGGGCTGAGGGGGGAGGCGCAATGGGGGAAATATAGCAAATTCTTTAAAATCCTTATTCGTCTGTAGGAATTAAAGGATTTGTTATATATTTGTTCTAAAGCATCCTTGGGTAAAGGGGAACCAATTTTGTATAAACCTTGGGTCTGGCCCCTGAGGGGCCTGAGCGGTGGGGCCGAATAGGGGAAACATAGCAAATTCTTTAAAATCCTTCTTTTTCCCAGGCCAGGATATATCAAATTCTTTAAAAATGGTAGTTGTTATTCCCTGCTTAACGATCAGCATTATGGGTAATAGCGATAACTGGTTCACCCGTCGTCAGTATAATTTGACCTGGCGGGATGCTGTACTAGGTGCATTCGGCATGGTGTTTCAGTGAGATAACACTATAAAGTCGGCATCAGATCACAAAGAGGCAAGTAAACCAACATACCCTGTCTCCAGCATGCATTGACTTATGCACGCTTACACAACACACATGGAAGCACGTCATTAAATGACATTACCTGTTAATAGGACGTTAAACAAAACAAAACAAAACAAAACATAACCAAACCAATCATTCACTATTTTCTTTATTAAGTATAAATAGTATTGATATTAATCTAACTTAAGTGACTGACCTAAGGTTAAACAAGGTATTATAGCTATTACAAAACAATTACCATCGTCTATGAATACCAAAAATGTATGTGTGTTTATCATGTGATATTTCCTTTTCGTCATTTTAAAAACTTAATGTTTTTATTCAGCATGTTTAATGTCTATTGTCTTACATTCATATCTTTCTTACATTTTTAAATGCTTCAATGGATGATGGAAAATACATAATATATACTAAACCACGATCAGTGATCCATCTAAAGAGACCGTAGACCGGGATACATTACATAGACGACAAGGCAAGTATTATACCGAAAGCCTGGGCCCTATCGGGATACTGATACGTCTAGTTGTAAGTGAGGGGCCGGAATATAATCAACTGCACCAACAGCAGACCATAAAGAGTTATATAATAATACTTCAAGATATAAACATTTCCATAATATACAGAATTTGTAAGAATAGGTTTCATATTTTCATGACGTATCAAACGACTTTATGTCACTTTCAATTTAAACGTTTATGCGAACATTTGGAAAAGAAATGTTTTCGCTGGCCATACCTATCTCATCAATGACATCTATATTGTCTTCCCCCCTTTACGCTACTTTAAGAGATCAGTGTTGAAGATATACTGAGAATCTGAGGCAGATTCTCGGGGATTATATCAGTAAATTTACCAGTGACTTCACATATCAACTCAATCCTGTCGTTTTATTCCACAGAATGATAAAAGCAGTCTTTGTCACACTGATTAAACATTAAAAAACACGGAATAATACTTATATTGTAATGTTTTCACTCACTGGAACACAACGTCGAACATTACCGGAACGAAAGTGTACAGCCGTGGCATGAGACAATACATGTCTTCTATCGGGTTTTTGAACATATGATATGGTTTGAAATACTAAATTCATAAATTCCCTTAAACTTGGTTCTTAAAAAAGAAACGAGTGTTTTTGAAGTACTGCAGCGGTACCAGGAAGGGACTTAATCCATCCGTTGTAAGTACTGTTGATTAAGATTATTGTTAGTCCCAAAATGTCCTCAGTTGATTTTCGAGATGTACTTGTTAAGTGTTTCAATAGTTTGGTCAGTAAAATAACAACTAATATAAACGATTTGGAAACACTGAAGCTTCCTATGAATGTGTCAACGTAGTGGGTGCTTTATTGATTAAGATGTTGAAACTGTATGGTGTTCTTGTTGTAG